TGGGTGGAGCTCCGCTTTAAGGTGTTTTTATGCTGTATTTTTGCTATTTTCTGTAAATACCACATATTAGCAATAGTGAATTGACATTTTCAGTATCGCATGAAATATGTGGTCATGTGACGGAGTTAACTCATGAGATAACCTTTAGTGAGTTGAGCCCAATATGAAGATCTGCCTTGTGTGGAAATATTTCACAGAGACGGGCAGTAGTGGTTTTTTGCAGGAATACTCAACACTACCAAAATCCACATACATATGATGTCTCAAATAGGTGGAGCAATGAGAAGGACATAGTAATGACCTCTGCATGGAGCATTGAGAAGGACATAGTAATGACCTCTGCATGGAGCAATGAGAAGGACATAGTAATGACCTCTGCATGGAGCAATGAGAAGGACATAGTAATGACCTCTGCATGGAGCAATGAGAAGGACATAGTAATGACCTCTGCATGGAGCATTGCAAGAAGGACATAGTAATGACCTCTGCATGGAGCAATGAGAAAGACATACTAATGGCCTCTGCATGGAGCAATGAGAAAGACATAGTAATGACCTCTGCATGGAGCAATGAGAAGGACATAGTAATGACCTCTGCATGGAGCAATGACCTCTGCATGGAGCAAGAAAGGACATAGTAATGACCTCTGCATGGAGCAATGAGAAGGACATAGTAATGACCTCTGCATGGAGCAATGAGAAGGACATAGTAATGACCTCTGCATGGAGCAATGAGAAGGACATAGTAATGACCTCTGCATGGAGCAATGAGAAGGATTTAATGAGCTTTGCTTGCAGTCTTTACAATGGCATTCCATTGTATCAACATGGTTATAGGGAATGAGTATTTGACGGATGAGATTTGCTTGAGGTTGGATTTGTGAGGATGTCTTGGCTGATGAGAGTATTTGGGACAGTTCAGTGGTTTGGATAAGGCAGACAACTTGGCTGGGGGGGAGATTAGGCCGAGATGCCTTTGGGTCAGATGCTAAATATACACTATATTGCCAAAGGTATTGTCTCTGCCCTCCAAATCATGTGATTCAGGTGCTCCAATCCCCTCCATATCATGTGATTCAGGTGTTCCAATCCCCTCCATGTCATGTGATTCCGGTGCTCCAATCCCCTCCATATCATGTGATTCCGGTGCTCCAATCCCCTCCATATCTTGTGATTCAGGTATTCCAATCCCCTCCATATCATGTGATTCAGGTGCTCCAATCCCCTCCATATCATGTGATTCGGGTGTTCCAATCCCCTCCATATCAAGGTATCCGGGTGTTGCAATCCACTCCCAATCATGTGATTCGGGTGTTCCAATCCCCTCCATATCTTGTGATTCAGGTATTCCAATCCCCTCCATATCATGTGATTCAGGTGTTCCAATCCCCTCCATATCATGTGATTCAGGTGTTCCAATCCCCTCCATGGACACAGGTGTATACAATCAAGCCCCTAGGTATGCAGACTGCTTCTACAAACATTGGTGAAAGAATGGGTCGCTCTCAGGAGCTCAGTGACTCCAAGCGTGATCCCGTGATAGGTGGCCACCTGGGCAATAAGTCCATCCGGGACATTTCCTGGCTACTAAATATTCCACGCTCAACTGTTAGTGGGATTATAACAAAGTGGAAGCAACTGGGAACAACAGCAACTCAGCCACCAAGTGGTAGGCCACGTCACATGACAGGGCGGGATCAGCGCATGTTGAAGCGCACAGTGCGCAGAAGTTGCAAACTGGCTGCAGAGTCAATAGCTAAAGACCTCCAAACTTGGTGTGGCCTTCAGATGAGCCCAACAACAGTGTGTAGAGAGCTTCATGGAATGGGTTTCCATGGCCGAGCAGCTGCATCCAAGCCTTCCATCACCAAGTACAATGCAACGCGTCGGATGCCATGGTGTAAAGCACGCCACCACTGGACTCTAGAGCAGTGGAGACATGTTTCCTTGAGTGACCAATCAAGCTTCTCTGTCTGGCAATCTGATAGATGTGTCTGGGTTTGGCGGTGGCCAGGAGAATTGAACTTGCCTGACTGCATTGTGCCAATTGTAAAGTTTGGTGGAGGGGGGATTATGGTGTGGGGGTGTTTTTCAGGGGTTGGGCTTGCCCCCTAGTTCCAGTGAAGGGAATTCTTAAGGCAAAATTTGGGACAATTTCCTGCTCACAACTTTGTGGGAAGAGTTTGGGGATGGCCCCTCCCTGTTCCAACATGACTGCGCCCCAGTGCACAAAGCAATGGTCCATAAAGACATGGAGGAGCCAGTTTGGGGTGGAGGAACTTGACTGTCCTGCACAGAGTCCTGACCTCAACCCCATAGAACACCTTTGGGATGAATTAGAGCGGAGACTGCGAGCCAGGCCTCCTCCCCCGACATCAGTGCCTGACCTGACAAATGTGCTTCTGGAAGAATGGTCCAACCTTCCCATAGACACCCTCCTAAACCTTGTGGACGGCCTTCCCAGAAGAGTTGAAGCTCTTATAGCTGCAAAGGGGGGCCAACTCCATATTGATCCCTACGGACAAAGACTGGGAGGCCATTAAAGGTCATGTGTGTGGGAAGGGCGGGGCCAACTCAATATTGAACCCTACGGACTAAGACTGGGGGGCCATTAAAGGTCATGTGCGTGGAGAGGGCGGGGCAACTCAATATTGAACCCTACGGACTAAGACTGGGGGGCTATTAAAGGTCATGTGTGTGTGGGAAAGGGCGGGGCAACTCAATATTGAACCCTACGGACTAAGACTGGGAGGCCATTAAAGGTGATGTGTGTGGAAAGGCTTTTGGCAATATAGTGTGCAGGGGGGTGGACTGACCATTTGGAAACTTTGGCACTGCCCAAGGGCCTGGGGTCAGTAGGGGGCCCCATGAGATGCCCCTGGTACCTTTTTCATAGGCTTTTTTGAGTTTGGGCAAGGACACAGGGGGCCCCATGATCCCCTATTGCCCGGGGGCCCCATGAGTTGTCAGTCTGCCCCTGAGTGTTGGTGTTTGAGTTGAGTAAAGGGTTTGGACTGAAAGAGGCTGGTTAGGTAAAAGAACCTTGGCTAATATTTGGGTTGGAGTGCCTTGGTGGAGTGGTTGGACTTGGATAAGGAGGTCTTTTGTTTTTCAAAAGAACAATCTCTCCTGCAGATTGTATCAGTTACAGGAATGAGACAAACCATTTCCCACTGCTTACAATGATCGGATTTTATTTTTTTATGTAAAATTATTAAAAAAAAAAACAAAACTGATTGCTGTAACTGCTAATAAAGTGTGATCTGGAGTTTGGCTTCTTTTTGCTAGCGTATCTAAATTTGCTAGTACATCTAACACTCCCCTCCCCCCAGACTGACAATGCTGCTATGCTCCTTCATCCAGAGTGGAGGCGCTCTAATACAGGGGCTGTGTTACTGGCCAGATCAGCAGGTGTAAACAGAGGGAAAAAAGACTAAAAAAAAGAAAGCTAACGCAGCCGCCACATGGAATGATCAATAAGCTGCCATACATATGACTACTGTAGCTACGTCAATATTCATACTTTGTTTCCTCTGACAATATATGATGTCAAAAACTATTGGCAATATATGTAAATATAGATGATGATTTGTTTGCACTGTGTCTTATGATTCCTTCTGTATTTGTAGTGTTTCCTCCTCTTTTGAACCCTGAAGAAGTCCATTTGGCGAAACGTGTTGGTTTTAACCATCGTATCACCTTCCTAAATTCTACTTTCTCTCCACTGAGTGACTCTATGTTATCAATATATTAACTTTCAACGAGAAAGGTGTTTATGGGTTCACTATACTGAAGGCTTGATATTGCCACCAAATGGCTTTAGGCGAGGATTGTTATTTATGTTTTTATGGTTTTCACTATGTAACAAAATCTGATAGTTATATATATGTGTGTATATATATATATATACCGTATTTGACGGCGTATAAGACGACCCCCTACTTTTCCTGTTAAAATGTAGTGTTTGGGCTATACTCGCCGTATAAGACTACCCCTCTTCCAACGCACAGCAAAAATTAAAAAACATCAGATTTGATTTCAATATGGTATGGTATTCCAATGGTGGGGCACGCTTCCTCCCACTGATACCAATGATGGGGCACTATTCCTCCCACTGACACCAATGGTGGGGCACGCTTCCTCCCACTGATACCAATGATGGGGCACGCTCCCTCCCACTGATACCAATGATGGGGCACTATTCCTCCCACTGATACCAATGATGGGGGCACTATTCCTCCCACTGACACCAATGATGGGGGCACTATTCCTCCCACTGATACCAATGATGGGGCACGCTCCCTCCCACTGATACCAATGATGGGGCACGCTTCCTCCCACTGATACCAATGATGGGGGCACTATTCCTCCCACTGATACCAATGATGGGGCACTATTCCTCCCACTGATACCAATGATGGGGCACGCTCCCTCCCACTGATACCAATGATGGGGCACGCTCCCTCCCACTGATACCAATGATGGGGCACGCTTCCTCCCACTGACACCAATGATGGGGCACTATTCCTCCCACTGATACCAATGATGGGGCATTATTCCTCCCACTGACACCAATGATGGGGCACTATTCCTCCCACTGATACCAATGATGGGGCATTATTCCTCCCACTGACACCAATGATGGGGCACTATTCCTCCCACTGAAACCAATGATGGGGCACTATTCCTCCCACTGACACCAATGATGGGGTACTATTTCTCCCACTGACACCAATGATGGGGCACTATTCCTCCCACTGATACCAATGATGGGGCACTATTCCTCCCACTGACACCAATGATGGGGCACTATTCCTCCCACTGATACCAATGATGGGGCACTATTCCTCCCACTGATACCAATGATGGGGCGCTATTCCTCCCACGGACAGCAATGATGGGGTGCTATTCCTGCCACTGACACCAATGATGGGGCATGATTCGTTGCTCTGACACCAATGATGGGGCACTATTCCTCCCACTGATACCAATGATGGGGCACTATTCCTCCCACTAACACCAATGATGGGGCACTATTCCCCCCACTGACACCAATGATGGGGCACTATTCCCCCACTGACACCAATGATGGGGCACTATTCCTCCCACTGACACCAATGATGGGGCACTATTCCTCACACTGACACCGATGATGGGGCGCTATTCCTCCCACTGACACCAATGATGGGGCACTATTCCTCCCACTGACACCAATGATGGGGCACTATTCCTCCCACTGACACCAATGATGGGGCACTATTCCTCCCACTGACACCAATGATGGGGCACTATTCCTCCCACTGACACCAATGATGGGGCACTATTCCCCCACTGATACCAATGATGGGGCACTATTCCTCCCATTGACACCAATGATGGGGCACTATTCCTCCCACTGACACCAATGACACTTGCTGACTCCTGTTCTAGTATGGTGCTGCAGCAGCCAGCATATGTGGTTGCAGCAGCACCTCTGCACTGCACACTTACCCTCACTCGATTTTTGCGGGTCCACTCGGCTCCGCCTCCTCGCCCGTGATTGGCCGCCTGTGAGGAGGCGGAGCGAGCGGCAGGAGTGAGGGAGTGGCCGGAGTGACTGAAGGAGCAGCGCTTCCTGGATGGATCGTCGTGGGAGCCAGGTAAGAGACTGCAGCCCTCTGCCCGCCCCTGTACTTGGTGTCCCTTCCGTCGGAAGGGGGGGGACGGCGGCCCCCCCTAAAAAGTGCTCCCTGACGTGTACCGGCGTATAAGATGACCCCCGACTTTTGAGAAGATTTTCAAGGGTCAAAAAGTCGTCTTATACGCCGGCAAATACGGTATATATATATTTATTCTATTCTTGTATGCCTGAGTATTTTTCCTGAGGGTATGGGAGCACCTTAGAAGTCCCACATACCTTTTCATATCTTTTTGGACTTATCTCATAGGGATGCGGTGATGATGGATTGGCAATACCAGCTCATTAAAAAAAACCTGCCATATATGACATTTCTGGTGTTGGGTTTAATCCCTTTTAAATTTTGTGTTTTCCTGGACGATGGTGCTTTGGGGAAGATATTTGGATTCAGAGATTCAGGGAGGGCTTGGGGTTGATGGAGGTGAAGAGTGAGGGTGTTTGGATGACATCACATACAAATCCATTTTGTAAATCCCGTTTTCACAATGAGGACATTTAAGGTATTTTCGGTTGGATGAAATTATAGCAAAGATAAGGTTAGTGTGGCTCTTCCCGATATCCTGCTGAATCCATGTTTAGTTACCTTACCAGATGTTGGTGGGAACTGGACAAACGGCACATTTACTAAGAAGGGAACAACTTTGGACTCTTCATAGACGTTGTACCTTCTGCTACTCCAGCTCTTGTGGGAATATTAGATACGGAGGCTCTGAGCTCATGGACAGAAAACCTTCCAAATGATATAAACGATGGGGATCACAGAGGGTCTAATTCATAGTGAGATATGATCTACCCAAATATTAAGTACATTCTACCCATCAGTAGAATTCTGGTGCATTCCAAGGAGCAGAGTCTAGTAATAACCTCCATCAGTTACCCAACCCTCACAGTATCTGATCTGTAATTGGTCACTCTGGGTTTGGGCACATCATTGCCCCCCCCCCAATGTCAGATCTGATAATTCTGTACCCACGGTGTTCCCCCTCATCCCTTCCTGGGTTACCTGCTTTCTGTGCGCTCCTCCAGGCAGACTCGGCATCCTCCTTCATGCTGTCTCTGCAGGCAGAGGAACTTGTCCTGTGGTCCCTCTAGCCAGAGGGGAAGAGGTAGTGAGACCTGAGAGCTCCTCTGTGGTCAGCAATGTATTTTCCCATACATAAAAAACAAAACCGTGACTGGGCTTTTTTTTCCGGCATCTCCTGCACTGAATGTATGTAATGGCAAGGGGTGTTGGGCTGTGCTGGAAGGTCTATATATGTTGGCTGCTGGGGGATCTACTGTTACTGGTGAGGATCTATTTTTGCTTTGGAGTCTATTGTTTCCATAGAAACCTATGGTGATATCCTGTGTTTTGGAGAAAATGGTAGGGACCCAACATCGGTATTACATCCTCTAGTTGGTCTGGTCAACTTATAGTGACCAGGCAGTTGTAGATCAGCATATGTATGAGATCAAATGAGGTGGTGTTTTGGGGCTGGAGGCATCATTTAAAGCGGAGCTCAACCCAAAAGGGGAAGTTCCACTTGAAGCCTTTGTCCCCGCTCCCCATTAAGGATTGGCACCTTTGGGGAGCGGGTACCCAAATTTGACAGGTACCCGCTCCCACTTCCACTGCGATTGCCTAGGTGATCGGAAGCGGAAGTTGTCCCTCCCTCCCCGTAGTCTTCTGAGACATGTGACAGGTCCCAGAAGACTGCAGGGCCATTCACAAAGCACAGTGCTTCTCGCACATGCGCAGTTGGCACCCGGCTGTAAAGCTGCAAGCTGTCACAGCCGGGTGCCCACACTGAAGATGCCAGCGCCAGGGAGAGAAGACAGTCGGTGAGACTAGCCGTGGTGAGGACACTGCTGGACCGAGGGGCAGGTAAGTGGTTGTATTTTAAAAGTCAGCAGCTACAGTTTTTGTAGCTGCTGACTTTTATTTTTTATTTTTTAAGTGGAACTCCGCTTTAAATAATTTGTAGGCAGGTGCAGTCTATTTGCTCAACTGTAGGTGGTGCTCTTCCCCAGCGGCATTGCAGCTGGAGAGGAAGTCAAGAGGAACATGGTTTGCTAATGGTTCCCTGGGTCATTGGGGAAGCTATCCAATTGGATGCTGCTGTCTCATGTGACTCTAGAAGCTATCTTGGGTCAGGTAGAGCCTATTAAAGGCCCCGACTCCCAGGCTTGGCACATATTTTGTGAGTGGGTAGAGTAGGGACAGGTAACCCGCCTGGTGGGGACAAAACTGGAGGCAGGAAAAGGTTCCTGATGAGGAGGGAAAGCGTAAGGCTCGCAACTTCTCTGGACATCTTCCCACTAGGACAGTCGAAGGCCAGGCTGCATTCTGCCCCTCCTAACAGGCGCTGTCAGTTTGACTGAAACCTGATCTCTACATGCCCTTGGACCCGTGAGTGTTCCCAGTTGGGCTGTCTTCCCCCCGGGTATATTGTGAACTGTTTTTGCATCATTTCAATGCAGGTTGTTTCATGACACTTGGACTGTGTGGGTTATTGCAGCCTTACTGCGATGCATTAACAAAAAGAGAAAATGCCAACATACAGGGTGTAACCACCCATTTCTCTGACTCGCCCTATATTGAGGTGTGTATTAAAAAACGAATATTAGCAAAACGTTAGTAGTTGACTAGAGCAAACTGCAAAAAAAGACGGTATTTTATGTAAAGTTTAAAATCTCAGAAATCTTTGATTAAAGAAGACTAAACTAGATCCTTTCCCCTGTAGTGCCGTCTAGTGGCAGAAATGCGTATTTCTCTTATTTGAGAACTCTATTGAGAAGTACAGTGTTACTTGAATTGTATTCCAGGATTTGCGTGTCTTCAGCTGAGAGAACTTGCAATAGTTCAAGACTTTACATAAAGTCTCAGAAATCTTTAATTAAAGGAGAAGTATAGCCAAAGCTACTTTGGCTTTGCTTCTCCTTTGAATCACAGGAGTGCAGGTTCATTGTGACCCGTTTTCTGCCAATAGAGGGCTAAAGCCCCTAGTAGTACCCCCTCAATGTTAGAAGACACAAAATCAGCGTTATTTGGATGTTCTACACACAGCAAACTAGGACTACTTGAACATATCAGGCATCGGTGTACGATCGGCTAAACACATTCCGCGATTTCACGTTTGCATCTCTCATATCTTCTTCATTTCCTTGACCAGGGTAGATCAGAGGTCAACTCCCATCTAACCATCATCCCAACTCCACCATTCTATAGCTCACCAAAAAAAAAGAAAACCGCTTGCGTTTGCACACTCATGTGATCTCTCATATCTTCTTCATTTTCTTGACCAGGATAGACCATCATCCCAACTCCACCATCTGACCATCATCCCAACTCCACCATCTATAGCTCACCTAAAAAAAAAGAAAAACCACTACCGTAAAATGCAGTTACCATCATAAAATTGTTGTAGCAGACTTTTATTATAAATGACATACAAAATTTGAAATAACAAAACATAAAATGACAAATTAAATCAGGTTTCAGGTCCTTGCAGGCACCATAAAGCTGCATCAAAAAACCTTCTGTCTGTAGGACCAGTTTATAGGTGGTGTGCATCGTAGTAAGAAAAGGTTAGAAGCTGACTAGAGCAAACTGCAAAAAAAGACGGTATTTTATATCCAATGTAAACAAACACATCAGTAATAGATGCAAATCATTTCTTTATTATGATCACTAGGATCCTCTGAAAAGGTGGGCATATGACATGGTGAACACAGTCAATCAAAAAAATAAAACAGTGAGTTAAAAACGAAAAAAGTCCTGCGTGTACACTTAGCTGAATCATGGTGATGAAGTGCATGGCTGGGAAACTGAAAGATATGGATCATCTAGGAGGGGTTGTAGTGTGTATGGAAAGTCCACTTCCAATATGATCTGTGATTCTGCTTTCACAATTAGTGTTCCTCACTAACTTCCAATAATGACATGACTGTAGGAGGATACATCTCGTCACCTCATTTGTATGGTCATCAATTCTGGATATAGCAGTGACATGTAGAAAGAATCCTGGGAAATCAACATGAGTAGTGAGAATGATTTATAAATAAAGAATCACCACATTCATGACTATTGTCAGGCACCCATCAGGATCTCTAGTGACCCACAGAACGAGATTCCCCAGGACACGGAGTCTAACTCCCAGTCTGCCTTTTCACCAGAGCCCCTGATGGTGGGGATGGACTTGGTGCAAGACTGAGACCAGGTCGTGGTTCCTGAGTGCACCCAACTGTGGTAGAGGGGTCTGCTGAGGGTATGTGCCAGGGGTGAGCCTGATGTGAAGAGGCTGACAGGTCCAGGACTCGTGCGGGATGGATGACAGTCAAGAATAAGCATGGTCAGACTAGCTGGGTCGGTAATGGTGGAGGCAGATCGGTACAGAGCATTAGGCAAAGAGTAACCGGGTCACAAGCCAAGGTTCAGCAACGGGAGGTCCAGTAACATAGGGGTAGGCAGAGGAATAGTAAGGGACGAGACAGGGATCAGAGTAGGAGAAGGTCAACAGGAATCAGGACAGGCAGGGTCGGCAACTAGGAACTCACTTCAGAAAACAGGTAACAGGAACTAGACCTTGCGGCAATCTGATCACCGCCTGGCTAGTTTAACCATTAGCCGCCCGGCCAATGGCTGTTTGGCGGCTTCAAAAGAGTCCCTGCACTCCGGGTGCACGCCATTTGGCTCCCGCACATGCGCAGTTTGCGCTAATGCAGAGCGGCGCAGCAGTGCGATCTAATTACCGGCCGTGTACCTCGGACACGGCCGATGACAGATCCGAGTACCGGCTCCAGTTGCCAGTGGTACCATGTGACCTGCTGTGACCAATCACAGCAGGTCACATGACAGTTGTATACAATGGATGGCTTCATTCATGATGCCATC